GAACTGGGAGCCAGTGAGTCATGATCTTACCATGACCTTGGCTGACCTAGGTAAAGGGAATTCCTTCTGCCTCAGATCACGCCTAGTATCGTGGGTACTGAGAACTGAGAATACTTTGATATTCATATTATTTTGAAGTTCATGGTTGCACTTCACAACAGTGAAAGAGGGGAAGTGTCACCAGAGGGAGGGAAAATTACAGATTTCTTTAGGAGTCGCCACCGCTGGAAAGTTCCAGGGACATGATCTTGTGTTTGTTATTCCCGTCCCTCCCCCAGCTTCCTGCCTGGGACCTGCAAGCCCATGCTAACCCAGATACCAGATATTAGAAGATCCAGTCACCTGTATTTTCACCAGTCGTAATTTGGATTGCATTTTTTAAAAAAAACTGGATTATTGTGTTATAAAGAACTTATTTGATTTTTGTAGCAGATTTCTGGCAAGGAACTTCAAAGCCACTAGAAAATGAGAGTGTTGTAGGATGGGAAAATCCAAGCACTTGATTATTAACCCAATCTCAGGACATCCAGCAAGGATGCTGGGTAGGAGATCAGCTCAGTCATGTGGACAATAATCAATCAGGTCCACCATGCCTCCACAAGTAAACTTCATCGACAAGCCTTGGTGCACAGAAGCTCAGTGGACTTCGTGGCTGGAGACCAGTTGGTGTAGCAGGAGGACGGGGCAGCTCAGTGGCAGAAGACATGAGGCTCAGGGTTTGATGCACCACACTGCAATGGTGATGATTGCTGTACCCCGATTTTCCAGAGAGACACGCTGACACTCAGTCAATTAGGCTAAAATCTTTATTGCTGTGTGGCGACCATATTCAGCTCGCAGAGCTCTGGAATACAGTGACACGTTGTGGATCTGCTGGGTATTGGAAGGCAAACACACACACACACACAGGTGGTACTTTTGCAATAAGCCAGAGCAAGCAAGTTGGGTGTTCAGAAGCAAGAGTTATGCAGTTAGCAGGAATTTGGCACACAGGGGGTACAGAAGCGAAAATTACGCAGTTTGCGGGAATTTGGTGGCTCTGCTTGGTTTCTCCCTGACCCATTTCTCAGAATCTGCAAAAGGGCAGATATTCTTGTTGCCAGTTATTCAGGTCACTGTGCATTCCGTAGTTTGGCCTCACCCCTGGCCTACTGGTGGGTAATAACTGTTTTACTGCTGTGTACTGAATTCCAGTAACCTGCTCTTTGGAATTCTTCCTTTAATGACCGACCTGAGGGTTTTCTCTACAGGAATGCTGTGCCTTTAATGTGTTGCCCTATTCTTAATATTTCTTGTTCTGTTTCTGATTTCATATTTTACAGTCTTTTTTTTGGGGGGGGGTCACCACATCTCCTGCTCCTGTTACAATCACTGACATGTTTCCGTCTCATTTGCCTGGCAAAGGGGCTGGTACTGGGTCTGAGTATGTAGAACCATCAACTTGACGGCCTGATCCTGGCTATCATGCGTTAGGCAACGAATAAGGCAGGGTCCTGCTGTTAAAGCTAGTAAAGAGTATAGTGAATGGCCCCGCTAGCACTGATAGTAACGTGGGTGTCATGAGGATCATGAGAAGAGAGACTGATACCATGACTCAGGCCTGCCGATCACATTCTCGGCCCTTCGTTCTTTCTACCCAAGGCCAAACTTTCCCTAACAGCCCCAGATTGATGTGCAAAAAAGCAACAAGCGTCCCCTAATGCCATGCACAATCCTCCTTGTTCCATAAAAAATGAATCAAGTCCCCTCCTGTTCTAAGGACAACTTCTGCTAGAGTCCGCCTGGTTCTCCAGTCACAATAAAGGGTTTTCTAGACGTCTTACATCCTCATCTCTTTGGGCACTTAGCTGTCTGTAGTTTTTAATCTCCTTCTGTCAAAGCAGAGGCGCTCATAGCTGTAGATACTACCACCCCTAACCTGCTAGCATAGGAATTAGCATTAGGCACGGCTCGTCATACTTGATGTTCTCCTTTTCGGGGATCAAAATGTGTCATTCCTCCCCCTCCACTGTATCCAAACAGTTGGGGCATAATAGGAACAAGTACACACAGAGCTCCATCTTTTTGGTTTTCCAGCACATCGGAAGCTACACATTTAGATAACCCATGTGCGCATGCAAACCGTGCGGTATTGGGGGCCTGATAGTAATCTCACTTTGAGCTCCTATCCGAGGTACACAGGGTTGTGTTGCAAATGTCTGTGTAAGGGGAGCCTTGCATTTGGTATTTGGAAAAGGCACACAAATTCCTCGTCCTTAGAGGTCTCCCGAGGTTACCCAGGGATGACTCCAATTACAGCTAGCCCCATCTTTAGTAGGAGTCAGGGAGAAACTAGTGGCTTCAATTCCCACACAGTAAGGGGGTCAGCGATCTAGACATAACCAACAATCTTGTCCCAAACTGGGGTCTGATTGAAGAACCAATGGATGCACCAAGCCTAGCATTTTCCAAACAGGAGTTTGGCTCTCCGGACTGGAAACCTCGTTTCCATTTCTTGGAGTTCATTTCTATATAAGCTTAACTTATGTGATCATATGCTCATAGCTTTTGAGAACTTCTCCTAAGGATATCCTCTTTTGAGCTCACTGTGTGAATGTCTACTTCTCATGTCCAAGGGCAATTTTCTGTCTTTTACCATCATTGTGTGTACTTGTAGATGTATAGGCACATTCTAATGACCTCAAATGAGGGAAATTGGACAACCTATGTTTCTGGCTTACTTTGCTTAATATAATTTTTTTCCCCTAGAAACAAGCTTTTTAAAAGAGCCCTATTAGGTTAGCAAGTACTGAGCAGTTTATGGGCTTATTTTTAGTGCTATAGGGGTTTGAACCCAGGTTCTCATATTTGTTAGGCAGGAACCCTACCCTTTGAGCCATGCCTTCGAGCATTACAGAAACATACAAAATCGTTTCATTGTCCCCAAGACCCCGTGCTCCACGTATCCTCTCCTCCATGTGAAGGTCTTTCTACTGGCCCCAGCATGAACCCCCAGGTTCCAGGAAGCGCGTTGTAGGGTTTCTGTTGCAGTATTACAGTGAGCTACAATCAGGTGTGCCAGGCACTGCTTCCCACCAGCCATGAGGACCTGGACTTTGGCTCATTCGCCCTAATGCCCTCTTTGTGTGGCACTTGCTGTACTTGACAGTTTACACTGCTGCTCACACCTGTACTCCTAGCTACTCAGAAAGTTGAGATCTGAGGACTGGAGTTCCAAGCCAAACCAGGCAGGTAAATCCAAGAGATGTCTATCTCCAAGTAACCACGAAAAAGCCCAAAGCAGAGCTGTGGCATCAAGTGGTAGAGTGTCAGCCTTGAGTGAAAAAGCAGGCACAACACACACACACACACACACACACACACACAGGTGAAGGAAAATGACTGCAGAAAACCAGAAGAAAACCTTTTCACCCCTTCTCCAGAGGGAAGCCGCCTTGTGCCAGCTGTGCCGGTGAACCCCTGGACAGCCATCGGGGCTCCCTGAGCTCAGGCTGTGAACCCCTGGACAGCCCTCCGGGGCTCCCTGAGCTCAGCCTGTGAACCCCTGGACAGCCCTCCGGGGCTCCCTGAGCTCAGGCTGTGAACCCCTGGACAGCACTCCGGGGCTCCCTGAGCTCAGGCTCAGCTGCCACAGGGTGGAGGTCAGGCCAGGATCAGGCCATGCCTTGCAGAGAGGAGATGGAGGTGGGGGGAAGGGAGAGGTAAAGGTGAAGGAGGGGGGGAACAGGGGGAGGGGAAGGAGGGGGACAGGGGGAGGAGGGGGACAGGGGGAGGAGGGAAGAGGTGGTAGACGGGAGGGGAGGGGGTGATAAAAGAGGAGGGGAAGAGTAGGGGCGAGGGGAGGCAATGAGGGGAAGGGGGAGAGGGGGGGAAGGAGAGCTAAGGGGATGGAAGAAGGGGGGAAGGGGCAGGGGGAGGGGGGTGGAAGGGGCAGGGGGAGGGGGGTGGAGACAAGGAGAGGGGAAGAGGGGGGAAGGGAGAGGGTGGGGGAGGGGAAGAGGGAGGGGAGGGGAAGGAGGGGGGAGATGGGGAGGAGGAGGAGGGAAGGGTGAAAGGAGGGGGAGGGAGGAGGGAAGGGGGAAGGGGGGGCGGGAGGAGGGAAGGGGGAAGGGAGGGGGAGGGAGGAGGGAAGGGGGAAGGGGGGGGCGGGAGGGGAGGCGGGAGCGGCCCCCGGGGCTCGGGGCCTCCCAGCTGAGGCTGGCCCTTCCGCGAACGCCTCCACAGCGAACGGCCGGCCGGTCTGCCGACCTTCGATCCGCGGGGCGGCCTGCGGGGAGCTAAAGAATGGAATGTTCGGGAACAGGACGAAGGGCAAGGAACCCCGGGCGACGGTTCCGGAACCCGACTTCCGGCGCCCCCAAGAAGGCAGCACCGCGGGGCGGCTCCGAGACGCCGCTGGGGGCGTGGCCACGGAGGCCGGGGAGGCGGGGCCGCGGGGCAGGGGCGTGGCCACGGAGGCCGGGGAGGCGGGGCCGCCGGGGCAGGGGCGTGGCCACGGAGGCCGGGGAGGCGTGGCCGCAGGGGCAGGAGGCTTGGCCACGGAGGCCGGGGACCGCAGGGCAGGGGGCGTGGCCACGGGGCCGCGGAGGCGGGGCCGCGGCGGGCAGGCGGCGTGGCCACGACGGGGCGGGACTACGGAAGCCGAGCGAGACGCCCCAGTTCAGTCCCGCAGCCGCTGCGCGTCTGCCAGCTGCGGCGCCTCCTGCTCAGCCTCCCGCGGTCGCGCCTCCGGCGGTCGGGCCTCCGCTCCGAGCCCCTCCACCGGCCACATCCACGCTTACTTCGGCAGCCGCACCTGCGCGGGCGTCTGGCGGCTTCTCCTCGGGTAGCACCGCGGCGAGTCGTGGGTCGGCCCGCCCGGCCTCCAGCCTCCGCCCGCCCGGCCTCCAGCCTCCGCCCGCCGGGCCTCCAGCCTCCGCCCGCCCGGCCTCCAGCCTCCGCCCGCCGGGCCTCCGGCCTCCGCCCGCCCGGCCTCCAGCTTCCGCCCGCCGAGCCTCCGCCCGCCCGGCCCCCCGCCCCCGGCTGGCCCGCCGGCCCGGGCCGCGCCTCCCCCACGGCGGCGCCGCCGGCCGCGCGGACCGGGTCCCCGCCCGCGTCCCCCACGGAGCGCGTCATGCGGAGCCTGCCGTACTTCTGCCGCGGCCAGGTGGTGCGGGGCTTCGGCCGCGGCTCCCGGCAGCTCGGCATCCCCACGGGTGAGCGCGGGCCGGGCGCGGGGAGGCCTGGCGGCCGGGCGGGCGGAGGCTGGAGGCCGGGCGGGCCGACCGCGCCCTGGCACGGGAGCCCCGCGGGCGGCGACGCTGGGCAGAGCCCCCCCCCAGCCCGGCCCCGGCGGCTGGCGCGACCCTTGACCCCCGGGAAGGCCCCGGCCCCGGACGCCGCCCGGGGGCAGGTAGTTGGGCGAAGGCTGACTCCCAGGTCTTCGCCTGTCTGCCAGTTGGGGGCCCGAGGTTGCCCTTTGACCTGTTCACCCAGCCTTTAAGCTTGGGCCTTGCGTTTGGAGTCCTAGGCAGGGCGCACCACCTACTTAGGAAAGAGCGAGTCTAAACATGTTCTTATTTTCTTTTCTTTCATATTTTTATTCATTTTAATTCATTTTTTTCCCTTGCCAGTCCTGGGGCTTGAACTCGCGGCCCGGGCGCTGCCCCCGAGCTGCTTTCGCTCAAGGCTCGCCCTCTACCACGTGAGCCACAGCGCCATGTGCAGCTTTTTCCGTGTGTGTGGTGCTGAGGAGTCCATTCCAGGGCTTCACGCATGCTGGGCAAGCACGCTACCACCGAGCCACAGCCCCACTCCCTTATTTTCACAGACAAGGTCCTGCGGGTCGCCCAGGCTGAGTCTGAACTCCTGGGGTCAAACCATCCACCTGCCTGCCAGGCTTAGCTGGGACCTCAGACTTGGTGACCTCCAGCAGGCCTCCTGCATCATTTATATCAATCGCTGTTTCCTTCCACCAAGAGTGTTTTCAGTTCTTTTTGTTTGAGAGACGTATAAACCTTATATGCCTTCTACCTTGTTCCTTACCTGCCCATATCAGGAGGAGAAAGAAATGTAGAACTAGCCAGTATGAGATTGGTCATCACGATTAAGGCTCTAGACATCTTGTGTATAATATTCAGACTGGTTTTACATGTGATTTTTAAAAAAAAATCAGTATGTAATATGATGAAACCTTTTTAATACCCTGAATGTTTCTATCATGCAGCTAATTTTCCTGAGCAAGTAGTAGACAATCTCCCTGCTGATGTATCCACTGGCATTTATTATGGTTGGGCCAGTGTTGGAAGCGGTGATGTCCACAAAATGGTGGTGAGCATTGGATGGAACCCGTACTATAAGAATTTGAAAAAGTCCATGGTAAGAATTGTGTTTTGCTAACTAACTGCAGACAGGTTGATGATTTAGAGTCACAGGCTGCATTTAATGCACATAGAACTTTTCAGTACTAAGTACAAGATAGCACAAATACTCATTCTCGGCCGCATACTTGAAGAATGTGAGAGTGAAGTATTTCTGTACCAGTATTGCATACCTGTAGTCCAGGACTCAGGAGGCTGGGGCAGGAGGAAATGAGTCCAGGCTGGTGCTGGGAAGCATTTCATTATTATTTGACTTGGGTATCGTTTTCCATCCTTTTACTATAAGCATGTTGGTGTCTTCACATCCGAAGTGAGTTGTCTGATAGGCAGCATATAATTAGATTACTGTTTTTTAAAATTCTGTTTTCCCCATCTCTGCTACCCCACCCAAGCCTGGGGTACTGCCCCTGGGCTCTTTTGCTCAAGGCTAGTGCACTCTACCATCTTCATCCACAGTGCTACTTTCAGTTTTCTGGTGGTTAATTGGAGATAAGAGTTTCATAGACAATCCTGCCTGGACTGGCTTTGAACCATGATCCTCAGATCTCAACCTCCTGAGTAGCTAGGATTTCCAGTGTGAGCCATCATCTCTGCCTTCTAGTAGGAGAATTTAATCCATTTATATTTAATTGCAGACAAGGAGGGATTTCTTTTTTTTTTTTTGTCTATTTATCTTTTTTTGGTGCTGGTCTTGGAGCTTGAACCTAGGGACTGGACACTGTCCCCGAACTTCCTTGCTCAAGGCCAGCACTTATTATTACTACCACACCTCCACTTTTGGCTTTTGCGTGGTTAATTGGAGGTAAAAATCTCAGGGACTTTCTTGCCTGGGTTGGCTTCCAACCATGGTCCTTAAATTTCAGCTTCCTAAGCTGCTAGAATTACAGGTGTGAGCCACCAGTGCTCAGCTCTATTTGTCCTCTTTTGTCATTTCCTTTGTAACTTTATATTGTTAAATTTTGATCATGGGGCTTGAACTCAGGGCCTGGGTACTATCCCTGAGCTTTTGCTCAAGGCCAATGCTTTACCATTTGAGCCACAGCTCTACTTTTTTTTTTTTTGATAGTTTAGTGGAGATCAAAGTCTACAGACTTTCCTACCAGGGCTGGCTTTGAAGCTCGATCTTCAGATCTCAGCCTCCAGAGTAGCTAGGATTACAAGGGTGAGATACCAGTGCTCTGCACTTTTGTTTTACTTTTATATTTTTTATTTTATTTGTTTATTTTGTTGGTCATGGGGCCTGAGCCTGGGCGCCATCCCTGAGCTCTTCAGTTCAAGGTGAACACTCTATCACTTAAGCTGTAGCACCACTTCTGGCTTTTTCTGCTTATGTGGTGCTGAGGGATTGAACCCAGGGCCTCATGCATGCAAGGCAAGCACTCTACCACTGAGCCCCTTTCCCAGCCCTACATTTTTTTTTTTATAGTGACACATTTTTATTCTCATTCTGTTTTGTATATTTTCTTGTTACCTTTAACATCCTAAAATTTTGTAAGTATAATTTGAGTTCATACTAACTTCAGCAGTATAAGAAATTAGAAAAAACATCTATAGATTGTGTGACAGACAAGTTTTTTTGGTGCATTTTAAAGTCACGTAGATGAGAAAAAGTAGTTACAACCCACAGTTACAATAATACTTTCATAATTGCTTATTTATTTACACTAATTTACACTTTACTGATTGCTTTGTAAAGTACAGAACGGCTTACTACAGGGATAATGCCACTTGATGTGTGTATATTTCTTTCTCAAGCTCCCTCCAAACCCGGTGGCTTTTTACCCAGGCCCAAATGCATGTTAAACACTGTACCACAGAGCTACCCGCCCCCTCTGAGCCTCTTTGCAAAATCACCTTCAGGGTAGAGGGTTTCTTTGTATGTGTTCCACTTTTTCTGCAGGATCCCTACAGCTTAAATATTTTATTTGTTGGATTTGGCTTAATCTTTTGTTAGCCCAAGTGAAATACAAAAACAGATTTGTAGGAATCTAAATTTTAACTTCCTTGCAAAGTTAATAAGACAGAAGTGTGTCACAGTTGGAAAACCACAGAACTAAGTGCTGATATAAGCAATAATAACCAAGCCATAATGATGTACAACTATTGAATATTTTCAGAAAAGGGAGGAGGGGCTAGCCCTTGAGCTATTCAGATAACAGGAATTCCTGTTGAGCCATTTAAGAGATGCCCTAGAAATCCTTTGAAAATTAGGAGAACCTCCCACTGATAAGATGTTCATACATTTCAGAGCTCCACCCCTTTGGCTTTTTGCCAGAAATGAATAACTGAAATGCCCATTCAAGTCTTTTGCCTTTATTAAAAATTTTTATTGTGATAGGATCTTGAAGTTCTTATCATAGCTTAAATTTAATTCTTTTGTTGGGACTATGTAGTTAAATGTCTAGAGTGGGTTTATTTTTTAAAACTCATTGGCGGCTTTCCTTTTCCTTTTTTGTTTTTTTTCTCTCTAGTGCTGGGATTGAACCCAGGGTCCTAATCATACTAGATAAATGCTCTACCACTAAGGTACATCTCTAGGTCCCTGAGTCTTAACTTCAATAATGACCCAGCTCATTTTTCAGTAAGGATTGTTTTTTCCTAGCTACTCAGAGGCCAACATACCAAGGTTCGAGTCCAAAGACAGCAGAAATAAGACAGTCTTGGAGACTCCTCCGGTGAACCAGCAAAAACTCAGGCTGGAGGCATTGCCAAGTGGCACAGCCACCAGGTGTGAACAATAAAGGGAAGGAAGAGTGTGAGGCTCTGAGTTCTAGCCTGGTATTGGGAAAAAAAGTAAGAAACCTTTTTTTTTTTGCTGGTCATGAGGCCTGAACTCTGGGCCTGGGCGCTGTCCCTCAGCTCTTGAGCCCAAGGCTAGCGCTCTACCACTGGAACCACAGCGCTCCTTCCGGCTTTTTCTGCTTCTGTGGTGCTGAGGAATCGAACCCAGGGCCTCACGCATGCGAGGCAAGCACTCTACCACTGAGCCACCTTCCCAGCCCAAGAAATCTTTCTTAAGTGAAGGTCAAGAAGATACTTTTTCTGTTAAAAGCTGATTTGTGTCTTAAATGATCATTAATGACAGCACTAGGGACCCCACACGTGGATGTGTGGAGTCATTCTGCCGCTGAGCCACCTTCCCAGCCCACCCAGAGTGATGTGGGAGCATAGTATGCAATAGGAGTCAACGTGAATTTTTTTCTGAGGATCTGGCGTTGACCCAGCGCTGCAGTGTCACCTGAGCTTTCACAGGCATGTTGTCCGCTTGTCTGTCAGGGTGTCAGTTCCCATAGTGCCCTCTCAGGTCCTCAGATCTGTTGTGAAAACGCTCCTGGATTTTTAAATTTTATTCTGTTGTTTTTGTGGAGGTGACATTTGTGTGAGTCAGTACGGAGTACATTCCCTTTCGCACAGCGCCATCAGTTCTCGTCCCACTCTCTCCCTGCTCCCATCCCTATCTACAAGTTGCATAGTTCACGTTCACCAGTGCCCACTACGTCCAGTTTGGTTTTTGATGTTTCTTGAGGGTACCTCTGGCCTTTCTCTCATGTCAGTTTTAGAATAGCTTGTCCGTTTCTGCCAGCTAGGATTTCCGTTTGGCTAACTTTGAATCATTCACTTGTTTTAGAGAGAGTAGATCAGTTTCGGGAAGATGGAATTTTTTTACTCATCCCATCCTGTATCATAACTGACAATCCACTTTTCCCCAGTTTTTGAGTAGACAGAAGATATGGAATGATAAGTTACTTCTGTCCCCCTCTAAGGGTATATGCATATTAGAGACTGTGTGCAAAGGGATTTCCCTCTAGATAGAGAACATAGAAAAGTGGGCCCACATTACCCCCATCTTAAAAGATCACAAGCAGCCTCACATCTCTGCTCTCAGCACTCCAGAGGCAAGGGGATCTTGAGTTCTAGGCCAGCCTGAGCAGATAGTGAGACCCTGTCTCAAAACACCAGGGACTGGATGTGTAGCTTAGTGCTAGCGTGCGTCTGCTTCCTTGCGTTATGAAGTCCTGGGATTGGTCCCAGCACTGAAGGGGTAGGTGGGAATCAGAACAAGGCAACAACCACCAAGAAAAATAGAAAATTAGGAAAGGCAATTTTATTTTTTTAAGAGAAAAGGTAAAACTTCCCATGATTTTAGTCCCGTATTTATTTCCTTCCTGTTTTTGATCTGGTTCCTATTTTAAGTATACACAGTTCACTTAAGTCATCTCTGTTGTTTTAGTAATTACTCTGAATGATTTAGCTGCACCCTTCTAGATTGGTACATAGATTAGATTTCCTCAAGTCAAGAGCTTCAAAATAAACCTTAGGATAGATGTTTCTAAATGTTTACACCTTTGCTGTTTCTGATCCCATCATCCTAGTCTAGATGACTCTGTTCTGTCTTTGGTCAGCCTCTGAAGGGTTGGGTGTCCAGCCCTGCTTGCCTTTTAATCTCAGCTTTCTTCTTTTAGGCAGTCTGTTGAAACTTAGATGATTTATCTGTGCTGGAGAAGTTACTAAGCAGTGAACCATATCCTAGTTTTGGTATAATCCATCCACTAACCCACTTAGGGCTGTATATAAGGTTAGGACAGAAATGATGGGAGAATTGGTCTTTAAAATTTTAGTGATTTTTTTTTTTCATTTTAATTGATCCCCCATAAACTTGAAGATGTATTTTAAAATTTGTATTTATTATGGTCTCATGGTCATCTTCTCAACATTTTATTTTTAGGAAACCCATATCATGCATACTTTCAAAGAAGACTTCTATGGGGAAATCCTCAATGTGGCCATTGTTGGCTACCTCAGACCAGAAAAGAACTTTGATTCTTTAGGTGAGTTCTCAGGTTGACCTTCTGTTACTTATAGCTAGTGATAACGAGGGTGTGACATGACATTTGAGCAATTCATATGCAGCAAGTACTATCTTTAGTGTTCCATATGAGTTCTTTTTCTAGAACTATTATTGACGAATTCTTTTGCCCACTTCATAGAGGTGGAAATTGACACACACAAGTAATTTTCCCCACACCACTCTTAGTGTAGTTTTGTTTCTGTATAACTGAGTACCTGGCTGGTAATTCATAAAGAACAGATGTTCACCCAGCTCTTGGTTCTGGAGCCTGGAATCCCAAGACCACGTGCTGGCAGCTGGCGTGCAGCTGGTGAGAGCCTTTTGCTGTTGAACAAGAGTGCTAGCAAGACTTAACTTTTGTAACAGGGCTACTTCCCTGATAACCTGTTAATCCAGCCGCCCTCATAACCCCGTTACCTCCCCACAGCTCCCCTTCCAAATGTCATCAACATGATTTTTGAGCAGTTTTCAATATAGGAACTGCGCAGTAGTTACATGTAAGTGGTGGAGCCTAGAGTCCATCCCAGCAGGCTGGCTGCCTTTCTTAAGCAGGAAGTTAATGAGATTTTTCAAAATGCCTCTAGTGGAAGGGGCAGCAGTCACAGTGGACATTAGTTTTAGATGTTATCATGGTATTTGTTAGTACTTAATTATAGTTTCTTTCTGATGCTGGTGGCTCACTCCTGTAATCCTGCCTGCTCAGGAGGCTGAGATCCAATGATGCAGTACAAGGCCAGCCAGAAAACCAGAAGTGGCACTGTGGCTGAAAGTGGTGTAGTGCTAGCAGCCTTGAGCAAAAGAGCTCAGGGACAGCACCCAGGCCCTGCGCTTAAGCCCTACTCCCAACAAAAACAAACAAACAAACAAATAAATAGTTTCTTTTACAACTGTAATATCCAAAAAAAGAGATAGTAGCTTCTTCTGTTGGGCATTTTCAGTATATGTTTGTGCCTGTGCTTTTCTGTATGAAATTTCAAGATGAGGGATAGCCTTTCTGTACCATTGACTTTTACTTACGTATGGAAAAAGAGAACAAACACTGGGCCTGGGCCACCGTCAGAGTTAGGACTGGAGTCGCTGCAAACATAGCAGCAGTTTCCTGTCATCTTAACCGGTGTGCTCTCTTTGCAGACTCTCTCATTGCAGCCATTCAAGGGGATATTGAAGAAGCCAAGCGGCTGCTGGAATCCCCAGAGCACTTGAAGCTCAAAAATGACAGTTTTTTCCAGGTCTCTAAAGGAAAGATTATGAATGGTCACTGATAAAAGGAAAAAAGTACCTTTCTTTGTTTCTTCTGTTCTCTAGTATCTCACTGGTCATAACTATGCAGCCCCATCCTGGTTTTGTGTGAAAGTCAGACATTGTCCTATGGCCATGACTGAGTTCTGACATTACATGAAGTTGCCCTGTTAATGTATGCTTCAGTGCTGTCAAAAACCCACCAGACTGCAGTACTCAAAAAAAAAAAAAAAATCAAGACTTTTCAATGTGATGTTGATTAAAATGAATCACTAGAAGGATCCTAAGTGTCTTATGATGGAAACAGAGCATATATACATATGGGTAAACACAACAGGTTGCTAATTTGAGGTGAGAATTCCAGTTCTCATCATAGGATGCCAACCTGTACCTGTGTAGCCTGTGCTGCTCCACAGAAGACTTGAAAATTGAAGCTTGATAATTTACTTTAAGCCTAGGGAGGAGGAGCATCCAGAATGTATTTTTGGTATTTGTGAGCCTTCATGGTTATGACAGTCATGAAGAATTCTGTGCATGTTTTTCCTCTCTTCCCTTAGGAGGTGGTTCACTGTGCTGTGTATGAACCTCTGAGACCTGCCTCAGCCCTAAGCGGCCTAGTCTCCCTCTGCCTGCTGGGTTTTGGAAGACTCTTAAGATGAATGTTGTTTTGATTCTGCAGGTCTTGCTTTGATGTTATATAATATTTCTTTCTTCTCTTGCTGTTCGGTTCTGGGGATTGAGTCAGGACCTCAAGTGTGCTGCGCTACACACGCCCTCTTCTATACTCCGGGCTCTCTTCTTTTGAAGAAGTTAGTCCTCCTTTAACTTTTTTTTTTTTTTAACTTCGGTTCTTTTTCTTTCTAGAGGTGATGAACCTTTTTCTGGCCAAGGGCTATTTGGATGTTTATCACATTCCAGGCCATACAAAATTATTAATATAGGCAGACAGGCCAAAGCATACATGTCTGTTCCGACATGTACCAGTTGATCTGTGGGGCCTCATACAGCCCATGGGCAAATGAGCATTTGTTTTTCCCACTCAGACCACCCTGCAGGGTGTACACCTAAGAGACTAGATCTGTCCACCTGATTCTGGCCCATGTCAGTAAGAGCAGTGGCTAAATGCCTATTTGTATTGGATTTTTAGAAAAAAGAAATCAGTTTATCTTTATATGACTTTCTGATCTAAAGTAACAGATAGCATTGATGAGTATGTACCAGTTTGTTAAAGAATAAAAAATGTTTTTTTCCCCCCTGAGGAAACTATTTATTAACCAATTAAACTATGAAATAGTTGGAAGGTTGTTTTTAATGTGATTATATGTTTGGAGCCAAGGAGGCTGTTAGAGTGGAGTCCGCTCCTTGAGGTTCAGTGAGAGGCTGAAGAGCACTTACAGATAAAGTGACGTATTGTTACGTTTTGTTTTTTTATCCTACTGATCCTTTCATTTAGAGTAGAGAAAATAGGAAGTTTGGGCTATTTAGGGAATTAAATTGCAGATTGCGCTGTGCTGGCCAGGTCATTTTTCACCTTCATGGAGATGTGTTGATGGGCAGGCAGGTGACAGGAGAGATTCAGGTATGTAGAAGTTAGATCACTCTCTTACAGTTACAGGAAGCAGGTAGAAAGTATATTAAAGCTTCTGTAACTGAGGGATTAAGAGGAATTTGAATTTAGGGAAAATGATGCAGTTTGTGGCCTTTTCATTTCATATATATACACACACACATACACACGTATGTACACTCATATACACATAGATAGATGTGTATCTTTTGCCCCATCTTCGGTGTAGGGAATGGTCTTATGAATGCTAGGCAGATCATCTGTGAGCTGCATCCAGCCCCAGCCCTAAACCCGTCATAACATTAGAAATCCTACTGGAAAACGGGCCTCCGTCACCAGAAGCTGTATGAAGTGTAAGCACACATTTGTGTGCGTTGCGTCGGAGTGGCCTTTGCTAACACCGTGGGGATGTTCTTTGTCCTGCCACCTTGCGTTTTCTTAGCCATTGCTTTTGCACATCGCGTAGTGTGTTTAGGGGTCAGTTAATTGTCCATGTTCTCAAGAGATTTACATTGTGTCGATCTGTAGGAGTTCCAGTCTGACTAGTCTGAATGTTTTCAGGCCCTGAAATAAATGTTGAGTGATAAAGTTGTTTTCGTTTTGTGTCTCCTTATTTGCATCTTTCCCTTATCTGTTGAAGTTTCCGGTTTGCTAGTTGCTTGTTACCTGACGTGTGTCAAGGGTCCTGGATGGCTGGTGTTTAGGTGGTAGCTGTCCAGGACTTGGCCTTGCTGAGCTGGGTTTTATGCCCCTAGCCAAAGCTCAATGCCTGAGGTTCATTTGGAGAACATTTGTGGGGCATCAATATGCAAAAGTTCACTTCCCCAGCTTGAGAGTTCCTGTTACATTTTGGACTTACAAGAGCCAGAAAAAGGTATTTAAGTTTACCTCCCTTGTAGAATTCCCTCTTTGGAACCTTCATGACTGCCGCTGGCCCTTCGAACTCATCTTCAGCTCAGAAGACTTAACCTGAAGTCAGGGGAATTGCATAGCATGCTTCGGATCTGAGAGGTGTCAGCAAAACTCTGGAAAATTCACGCACCGGTTTTTAACTGCCCTAATTGTATGGACTCTGCAGCAGGCATATTGCACATGAAGGCTCCGTTACTAGGAAAATGCACGCTCCTGCTTGGGTAGATGAGCCTGCGCTTCCTCTCCCCTTGACGTTCACATTCTGTTTTTATTTTTTATTTGTTGGTTGTGGGACTTGAACTCTGGGCCTGGGCGCTGTCCCTCAGCTCTTCAGCTCAAGGCTAGTGCTCTACCACTTGAGCCACAGCATCCACTTCTGGCTTTTTCTGCTTGTGTGATGTGGAGGAATCGAACTTGCTGGCAAGCACTCTGCCACTAAGCCACCTTTCCAGCCCCACACATTCTGTTTTTATATCTATTCTGATTTATGCACAGAATAGTGGCACCACAAGTGCCACTCTGGAAACGGATATATATCCTGAGAGAGTGACCACTTCCAGAGCGTAGGCGGGGTTTTGGGTCTGATTGCAGCTTGGATCCAGGTTAATAAGCACCAGCTCTTGCTGCTACTAACCAAGTTACTCATGGGAATTTCAGATTCATCCTCAAATCCCTGTAGGTATTCTGAACCTTCAAAATAGTTCCTAGGACTACCCAGGGAGTCATTTTGCTTACAGATTTACTAAAGGTATTTTATCTTTATTAAAGATTGCCTATCAAGTATTGTTACCAAATGAATTATTTTTCAAATATGTCTCAAATCTCTCCCGAAGCCAAGAAATCCTGATATGAATATTCCGAGATTCCAAGTACATTTCAAAGCCAGACTTTTCCCTTGGCCTCTACTCTGAACATCGGCCTTGTTCTGTTATAGCACTTTTGTAGGTTTGAGTTATGGTTTTGACGTTTCAGAAAAGGCAGTGCTCCTGAGGGGGGGTAGGAGGGTAGGGGGGTTGGCACATGTCTGCTAACTTATCTGGCAAGAGGATCGAGAATTGGGGGTCAAGTCTGGATATGAAGGCACACACCATCCTAGATGCTCTGGATATGGACATAGGGTGGCAGTTTGAAGCCAGCCCCAGCAAAAATAGGTAAACACACTGTGGTAGCACATGCCTATAGGCCCAGGCCACCAGGTTCAGCTTTTGCAAGACATGGCAACTTCCCCTTTCCTTAACCCTTGGCTTCCTAACAAGAGTGAGCCCCTGGGATCAAGTCAAAATTGATGATCAAACTTCTACCAGATGAGCCATATGTGTTGGTACATGCCTGTAATGTCAGCTTGGGAGGCTGAGCCAAGAGGATTACCAGATTGAGGGTAGCTGGAAATACATAGACACCAAGAACCACTGAAAAAATGTCTTCCCTTAAGTTGTTTCAGGAATTTTGGCCACAACAACACAGGAGTAACCAGTGCAGGTTAATGTCACCAGTGAATCTACAGAGTATTTAAAAATGGTTTTGCTTTGCGTAAGTCACTAAAGTTTAAGTTACTAAGCGTACATTTCCAAGTCAGGGCCACTGAGTAGGGCTGCCAGCCTCTATTAACATTTTGTGGTTAAAGGGGAGCATGAAATAATGTTAGTACCATTTTCTATTATACAGCTGAATGTGAGAGCTGGGAAAACCACACTTGTTTTTTGGACAGTCCTAGGACTTGAACTCGGGGCCTGGGCACTGTCCCTGAGCTTCTTTTGCTCAAGGCTAGCACTCTAATCACTTGAGCCACAGCACCATGTCTGGATTTTTCTGTGTATGTAGTACTGAGGAATCAAACCCAGGGCTTCATGCATACTAGGCAAACACTTTACCACTAAGTCACCTTCCCAGCCCATAAACCACATTTTAAAGTTCATGTCTGTGGGGCTGGGAAGGTGGCTCAATGGTAAAGTGCTTGTCTCCCATGCATGAGGCCCTAGGTTTGATTCCCCAGCACCACATAGGGAGAAAAAGCCAGAAGTGGCGCTGTGGCCCAAGTGGTAGAGCGCTAGCCTTGAACTGAAGAGCTGAGGGACAGCGCCCAGGCCCAGAGTATGTCCAACTTCATCATTACACAAATAAGGTGAGGCTCATTTCATGTCTGAAAAGAATTCTTCCTCTCCCACATAAAACCAGCTTTCTCAGTGTTTTCTTTATGTTGTTGTTTTTTCTTCTCATGGGATAATTTGTCTTTACTGTGGTCTATAAAGTTTCTGAGTTCTATGAGCTTTGACAACGCAGTCATTTCCTCCACATTGGGTGATATGTACACGTTTCTCCCCTTGCTTAGTGTCAGCAGTTCCCTCTTTCCCGCTCATTCCCCCCCCCCTCCCCATTGCTGCCATTGAGCCGCTCAGTTTGTTTTGATCATTGTCCAGAGCAGTTGATGCGTCCCGTCCCGCTGCTGAATGTCCTCCCGTTTCCCCCCTTTTTTGTGTCCTCCTACTCTCCTGTTTCCTCCTCCTATGTTTTTTTAATACTTTTTTATTGTAAAAATACTGTAAGTAAGGT